CTGGTCTGCAGAGCAAGTTCCAGAACAGCCAGGGCTACACAGCGAAAACAAAACAAAGCAAACAAAACCCTTTGCTTTGGGTTATACATCCTGGATTTAGAGCCAGACTTCCACTAATGGACTGTACACCCCCAAAATTGACTGCACTCAAGGGGCTAAAATGAAAAGGCTTGCCTGCGTGATGTTTCTCTGAAATCTCGCCACTGGATGACTTACAGTAGGTTTTTGTGTCTGCTGCTGTTTCAGTACCTTTTAAAATTAGGATTATAATCTCAGTGTTGGAGTCAGTGTAGTGTCAGCTTTGACTTTTTTTCCTGTCGAATCCCACTCGCCACCTGCAGGTAGGTCTAGAACTCATTAAGAGCTGGGTTGGCATAATTAAGCATTCTGCATGGACCATAATAAACTAGTATTATTTAGCGTCTGTAATTTGGGGGTTTGATACAAGATGACAGTGTCTTGTGGCTCAGTTCCTTGTGTAAAAATGATAGCATCTCATTGGTAGGATTTGTTTCCCACTGTAATTGGGTTATTTGTGGACAGTTTTTTATAGCTTTCTTCTGGATGAAATAAATTGGGTAATGTACAGTTGGAAGTTTTTTAGCTTCTCTTAAAAGTCGGAATATTAAAAGATTTTAAAAAAAAACCTGAGGATACAGCCTACACGAATAAAACTCTAACATTATCTTGGTACCTGAAAGCTATAGAATTCTCTGCGTACTGGAAAAATCCTGTTCAAAGGCCTGGAGAAATGATATAGTAGTTATGAGCATGCGCTGTTTGTTCTTTCGAAGCACCTGCATTTTGGTCCCAGCACCCATATTGAGCTACTCAAAGTAGCCTGTAATTCCGTTTTCATGGTTGTCCAATGCCTCTGACCTCTCTAGGCACCTACACTCACATGTACATACCTACCTACTTATCTACCCCTTGCCCCCACAACACACTTTAATAAAGATGAATCTTTTAAAAAATGTTTTTACACAAGTCAGCATACTTTTGCAACCATATGCAAAAGGACTTGAATCATATGAAATGATCTCCTAACTGAATTGACTAAAATGTAGCTAATATGGAGAAGAGTCACTATGCAAATGAAATCAGATCAAAAGGAAATAATTTCACAGTGTGAATTGAAGATATCTTAGTAAACCTGGTGTTGCACTGTTCATATTAATGGCCAGTAAGAATATCATTACTAAAATCCTGATGGCAGAGTGTTTTTGTGAGTGTCTAATATTTAGTTCTAAACCTTTTTGAGGAGACTGAAAAGATGGCTCTGCAGTTAAGAGTGTGCTTGCTGCTCTTCCCAAGGATCCAAGTTTGATACCCAGCACCCATTTCCTTCCTTCACAATTGCCTGTTAACTGCCGCTTCAGAGAATCCAAGGCCCTCTCCTTCCTTCTGCAAGCACCTGCATCCACATGGCACACATGCAAATGAAAAATAGCTGCTTTGAGACTTTTTAGTTTTTGTGCTTTGAACGAAGTTGCATTGAATGTTGGTGCTTTGTGTGGGATGCGCCAGGAACACAGGTTTGTAAACCCTGACAGCTCAGGTGTTTTGTTTTGAGACAAGGTCTAGGTTATCCTGAAAATTGAACACCTCCTGTCTCAGATTCCCTAGTGTCGTATACTCCACATGATGGCTCAGTTTTAAACCAAACACCAAAACAAACTGGTAACTTATATACAAATTTGTAACCAAGAAATAGTGTACCATGCTCTAAAAATGCAACGATTTCAGAATTTATCAGAACGAGTGAGAATGAATGGGGTATTGTATCACGTTAATGCCTATTCACAGGCATGTCTAAGCCATAGTCAGACATATAAAGACTACCTAATCAGGATTCTGTTGGCAGCAACCAACTGTAGATAATCTAGAAAATAATTTAATTGAAGCAGGGGGTGGGGGAACCCATGGGATCAAAGGGAAGCTGAAGAACCAAGCTTCTAAATATTGCGCTCTCAATGAGTTTTATTTTTAGCGAAGATTGCTCAAGGCCTTTTTTATACTCCAGTGGATTGCATGAAATCTTCAAATAGCCCATTGCTCTGAGAACTCCTTGGGTTATTGAAATGACTTGGCATCAAGTATAGTCATTAATACGTACAAAAGGAGAATGGTGTTCTCTCTAGAGTATTCGGGGGAGAGTGCTAGGCAAACAGGAACGGCACATAGCCAACTGACTGTGAGATGCTACAGTCCAGCAAGTGGGCATGCAGAGAATGAGGGAAATCCTGTGGGCGGGCTTGCAAGGACTGCTGCATGGGATCCTGTCGAGTTCTTTGACTTGGAGTGCTGTTTTATCACGCCCAACTCTGCCTAGGTAAAATAGCTTAATTGTTGACATTTTTAGACTAGCTGGTGGGTATAAGAGAGATGTGGAAAATGAAGTGCAGTAGAGGTTTTTATTTCCAGTGAGTACAAGCCCTTCTCTCTGTCAGCATCAGTCCTGGTTGTACTGATAGACCTGTGCTGAAGCTTAACTGAAGGAGTTGATTGGTTTTAGCCAAGCCCCTACTCACCCTCCCATACATAGTCTTTTGATTATGGTTGTTTTGAGCCGGAAGGAGTTTGGATTACACCTTCAGATGTCTGTGGTTCTTACTTGTTTTTAATTCTTCAAGGTAGAACACACGAGATGGATAGCCCCCTCTCCTGACACGCTCTCGACCAAAGGAGGGGGTTGGGTTTCTGATTTAGGTCATCCTAGCAGGTACACTGTTGTCTGAGTCTGGCCTGAATTATGCTCATTCTTGCATGAGTCTTCCTTTCGGGCAAGCACATATAGCTCAGTACACTGTATCCACACTAGTCCACTTCCTGCATACTTCCTGATACTGCCAAGGTGAGGCCAAATTTACCTCTGGACAGCTTACTGTTTTCCAAATGAAGAGTTTTTTTTTTTTTTTTTTTTAATCCGTTTTGATTTGCTAGCACTATGATAAAAGTTTTTCCCTCCCTAGAATCTGGCTAAAATGTTCAAATTCTAGCAGGCCATCCATTTATTTTTGATAGTTTAAGTAAAATTACAGTATAAGCCAAACTTAGTATTTTGGAATACATATCGTGAATTACTTGAATGTCATCTTCCTTTGGTAACTGTGGCCCAGTAACAGTCTTCACCAAGGAACTACATGGATGCCAGGGTTGGGAGAGATTGGTGGGCGCTCTTTCCGTATCCCTGGAGTAGTTCTCTCACCTGGCCTATTAATAGGCAGTGGAGAGTTGAGTCATTCAGAAGCTGCTCAGTTCCCTTAAACCTTTAGGCGTAAGAACAACCAACTTGTCTGATTTACTGATTTCCTGCTTGGGACAGTTACGCAGAATATAAATGCTTGCTAGACTCAGATGCCTAATAGGAAAGTGGGAAAGGAGGGAACAAAACTGCAGACTTGCTGTTCTTGAGGAACCAAGTGTTGTGGAATATTAGTTAAAAATGTGTGGCATTCTTTTACACCGTGGAACATTTGTTTTAGTGATGCAAAGATGTGTCTCATTCTTCTGTGTTGCATTTGTTTGACTCTGTAAAGTTGTGTTACTTTGCCTGTCTAAAACCTGATTGGTCTAATAGAGAGCTGAACAGTCAATAGCAAGGCAGCAGAAAGAAGTAGGCAGGGATGGCAGGCAACGAAAAAGAGAGAAGAGGGAGGAGTAGAAACAGAAAATGAGAGGAGGACACCAAGGCCGGCCTCCAGCCACACAGCCAGCCATGGAGTAAGAAGTTAAGGAAGTATATAAACTAGAAAAAGGTAAAAGCCCAGAGGCAAAAAGTAGACGGGATCATTTAAGTTAGGAAAATCTGTCTAAAACAAGCCAAAATAAGGCCAGGCATTCATAAGAAAGAATATCTCCATGTATTTATTTGGGAGCTGGATGGTGGTCTCCCAAAGAACAAAGAGTAAAGAAAAAAAACTCAGCTACAACCAAGATTTGTTTCTTGGGTTGGAAAGAAATACTAGAGTCCTGATAAATATTGACGCAAGGTCTATCAAAATGATTTGTGTATGCCTCTCTCTAGGATTCACACTTCCTGAAGACTTCTGTGACTTCTTGGTACCTGTTGATGTATACATACATATCTTGGCCTACTTGGCCCTGCTAACTAATAATAGGAGCCACCAAGTAAGATCTGAGAAAACAAAGAGGACCTATAAATGGTATCATTTATTCATTTATTTTGAATTTTTTTTAAAAGCTGGATCCCTGAAGCCTAGACTAATCTCAAATTCATTGTGCTGCCAAGGAATCATTGACCTGATCTTTCTTCCTCAAATGCCGGGATTACAAATACGTGTCACACTGTGTCTCAAGTGCTGAGAATCGAACCCAGGCCTTCATGAATGCTAGGCAAACGGTCTACCAACTGAGCTACCAAACGATAGCTTTGAGTTGGCTATTACACTACTAATATTTGTGGTGAGGATCAGCAGAAAAAATGCATGACGTTATTAGAAATAAATCAAGCATGCAGGAGGAAGCAGCAGCTGTGTGCCTACAGGCCACTGAGGTTGCAGGTAGAAATGTACTGCCTTAGGCACACAATACCAGCTGCTAAGGTTAGTGCAGTTACTGGACTGCTGAGAGGGAAATGTATACCTGATTATTTTTAAGCCTGTTGGTGAAGCCGGGGAGGCTCTGAAAATAAGGTCCATTCCTATGAGAATAAGGGCTTTGACTTTCTCACCTTAGTTTGTCTTACAGTGAAATTCTGAAAAGAGGGTCATAAGCAACCTAGTCCCCTCTGAAAAGTGAGTGCCCAGCTAAGGTTATGAGTCATTTACACCTGAAGTTCAAGTTAGAACCACCTCTCAATAAAGCCCTAAAAATTTATTGCTCTCAGTGTCATGACCCTCAGCAGCCATTGTAGCCAGCATTACAAGACAAGAGAACTTGTGTGGTCTTTGAGAGATTTATTGAGTAAGAAGAGGCATCCGTTGGACACTGAAACAGTTACACTAACTGTAGTACTAGAGTAGAAACGCAGCGTCCTGTGTCTTTAAATCACAAACTTTATTCATTTGCTAAGGCACTACAATGGCATGTTTTCAGTGAACCCATAGTTGTGGCGGCAGCAGCGAGTAGCTGACGGGCGTGTGCACAGGCACCACGCAGCTGAACATTCACCTTGCTGTGGTCACGGCATGTAGCCCACTCTCAAAAGAGCTTTTATTAGCGTTTTTTAAAAACTGGCAGTATGAAAAAAAAAATCACAGTTTTCCTTTTTCAGTTTGTGATCTCTTCCAGAGAAACCTTTATGTAAAATGTTTTTTCTCTTACGTTTTCCTTGGCAACAATAAATCATGCATAAAATACAAGAATTACCTCTTAGAAAATAAAACCATCGGAAGATGTTTCACAACAGACGCAGTCTGGAAACTTGTCCCATTAAGAGTTTGGGATACCCTGAACCTTTCCGTCTCCAAGAAGGTCTCTCTTTAGCATTCTCAAGGAGAGCTTTGTTAAGTAGCTTCAAGGAGTCCGAACCAGCTCCTGTGTTGTCTAATGTAGACAGGGACCTAGCTTAGGAGTGTAGTGGTCTGGGCACTCGAGTGTCAGCACTGTTTGTTAATGGCCATTTTGTGTATCGCAGCACTCAGCAGCTCTCAGAGCTTATGTATGTATCATCTCTGCACATGGATGAGGTTTGGATATTCTCTGCAGAAGCCAACAGTTTCAGCTTCTCATTAATCTGTGGGTTAATTTTGGTTATAGCTTCAATCAAATAGGTGCCTCATTGACGATAACTACAATATTCCCTGATGGAGAATTAGTCCCTGGGGGGAGTTCTTCTCATCAAAGCATACCACACCATTGAAAAGTGCCAGTATACTGGAGTTACTGTTCATCAAAGGCCATTAGAACCTCTCTTCCTGCTAGGCTATGTTATTTTCACAACAGAAGGAACTTGCATATTTCTCAAGATTTAATTCACATCTTCACACATATATTTCTTCCAGTTGCATCTTCAATTCATTGGGCAGTGAGACTGTGTAGTCACAAGGTAAAAAACGTCAGGATGACAGATTTTTTTTTTTGTCAGTTGTACAAAAGAGGGTGTTTGTATGGTTTATTACTTCTGGTAAGTAACATTAGGGTTCCAGCTTGGCAAAATTAAGCTGGAAAGTATGCTTTTGTTTGGGCACGTCAGCTAGACACATGGTCACATCTTTTAAGAAATCTGACACATACCTGCTGGGATGAAGAAGACTACAACTGCTTTCATTCTGGAATTTATAATAATATTGTTTTTTTTCCTAAGATTTAGTTTCCAGTGTGACTTTCATATACATAATGAAATTGGTTTTAAATTATAGGCACACCTTTTTAACCTCATTACAAAATACTAATTTTAAAATTAGTCGTCGAGGAGCAATTGGATACAAAGCATTTAATCACAAAAATAGAAAAAAAAATCGTTAGTAAAAGAGCATTTCAGAGAGACCGGAACCAGGGACACTTAGTTGATCTTCTCCAGAGACCTGTAATAATCTGTCAACACTTTCCATGCTTTGGGGGCCATGAAGCCATCTGGGGGGTCTTCTCCTTCCCGGGCGAGCTTCCTCATCCGCGTTCCTGAGATGAAGTCAAACTCGTCATGCCTGTCACAAATACAGCAACAGAGAAGTCAGTGGAGGTAAGAAACAGCTGACCTAAAGATCCCTGGAATTAGCTTCCAGGTTTTCTCTGTAAACAGCGGCATGTTTTAAAATGGGCAGTTCCCTTAAGGTCTTGAGAATCTCACAGGACAGAAGAGAAATAAAGGCAGAACGTCTGTTTGGTATTTCCTGCACACCTGCTCTTTTATATCTTGATGCCAGAGATTAGTTTGTGTGAATTTAGTATGGGGTATGAACACCCTGCCTCAGCCTCCCTTGTGCTGTGATAATACGCATGTGCAACTATGCCCAGCTCAAGAACTGTTTGTGGGTGTGCTGGAGCTCAAACCCAGGGCTGCGCACATGGCTAGGCAAGTCTTCTATTAGTAAGCTACATCCATTGAACAAAGAAATGCTTATAGGCCAAGAACTACGTGTCGAGCACTCTGCTATGATGTTGGGACAGAACATGTGCACGAGCGGGTCTGAGCTGTGAGGGAGTGTTGTTCCAACTGGGAGCGTGTAGCCTGGAGACTTCCAGAGGGTCCAAGGTTTGCTTCATCATGCCAATTGCCATAACAGTTACAGTTTTCTCTAGAAACCTACCTTGCTGGATCATAAAAGTCCATGGCCTTTTTAGTTTTATTGTACGCAGCCACTCGGAATGGAATGATTTCCACAGAGGTGAGGCCAGGGGCCATACTCAAGACCTTGCCCCCATGGGTAGGTTCATATAGGTCTTTCTTCGTCTCAGGGTGGGGCATTCCTGCAGGATCCCTGCCCACGATGTAGAAATTGGCCCCTGCAATCATCCGGCATCTGCAATGCCACTGAACCTGGAAAATAGCACATGGGGACATGATGGTCATGATCCAAGTTCACATGTTCCCCTTTATGGCAATTCCTTAATTTTGCTTTCAAAGTGATTCAGAAAGGCAGGTCCGTTAAAAGTAGCAATGATGTCCTAAGCACTGAGCACACAGGCTGGGTGGTATTGGGTGGGACAGGAGCTTTGAAGTCATGAACTTTTAATCTCTCAATAAGCAGCCCAGGAATACTTAGAAAGGACCGTTAGAAAGGACCGTGAATTACATGCTCCAGTCTTCAGACAAACCAAAATCTAAGGGCTGCTAGAGATTCTAAACCATCATCACCTTTCATATATGTGTTGATTCCAGTTTAGCATAACACTTGCCATCTTTAAAGTTCTGACAAAAATATAAAGGATGGGGGGGAGAGCTGTAGAGGGTGGAGCTATAGAAAGGTGTGGAACTCTGATACAACTGAGGAGAATTCATTCATTAAACTCAGTTTAGAACATTTGGAAGGTTAAGGTCCCTTCAGAATCCTACAAGCTCCAAATCCCTGCACAGCTGTTAGTGAGGGACCAAGAATCTTCTGGCAGGTTCCCTGTGATAGTTCACTGCGGTGCTGCCTTTTAAAGATACTTCTCCCTTCTGAGAAATTCCTGGGGCATGGCGAATCATCCAGAGTACTTAGAAACAATAAATCGTTCGTTTAGTGTGGTGGTTTGAATGAGAAAGGTCCCCGTCAGAGTCAGGCATTTGAACCCTTGGTCCCAGGTTGGCGCCACTGTTTGGGGGAGGTTTAGATGATCCAGCCTTGCTGGAGGAAGTGTGTAACTAGGGATGGGCTTTGAGTTTGGAAAGCTCCACCTATTTCACCTCGTGCTTGTGGTGAAGGATATAAGCTCTCAGGATCCTGCTTGCTGCCGCGCTTCCCTGCAATGACAGACTCTTCACTCTGGAGCTGTAAGCCCACAGAAACCCAAGCTGCCTTGGCTATGGTGTTTGGTCACAGCAACAGAAAGGTAATGGGTAGATATTTCTTGCCCTATGATTCCAGGTGAGCTATGCTCTCTCACTTCCTCAATCAAGTGCTAAGCCCCATATTCTCCGAGCAATGTGTTTATGTAGGACTTGACACTTCCAGCATCCTTCCAAATACAAAACTGAAAACGTTAAGCTGGGATGGGGGAAAGAGTAACTTGAGGTTGTAGAATCTGCCCATTAAGAGTGCCCCCCCAAATTTATTTAATTTTGTAAATAAAGTTTTAGGCTGTGTTCTTAGTCCTTTACCAGCTCAGGGAATTGCTCACCTCTGTGGGGCCAGCATACAACATAGGAGACGGGAAAATGGCAACAATAGTTGATTTTGGGTCCAGGACTCCTTCCTCCAGTACAGCTGCGTGTTGTTTCATCCTCCAGTTCAGAGGCACATCGTCATCCTTGGTCCAGCCCCCCAGAGGGTGCAGCAGGAGGACCGGGTGCTTGTAGCCCCTCTCTAGGAGCCTGCGACGGGTGTCCTGCATCAGCAGAGCGTGGCCATTGTGGACAGGATTGCGCAACTGGAAGGCAAACACGGCATCTAGGAAGGAAAGAAAAGCCAAGGTTCAAAGTAAGCTATGTTTCTTGTCCATAAGAATAGATGGGGAAGGATGGAGCGGTAGGTATACTGCTCAGTTCCCCCATTCGGGCTGCTAGCGTTTGACAGTTTGAGAATGTGCCTAAGCTGTTGGGAGTGTTAATCCATCAGAAGTGTTCAGTTGCTTGAACAAGATAGGATGCAGAGGCAGGAAGCCACACAGGAGAAAACACGACTCGGCAATTAAAACAGGTACTGGCTACACCCTTCCTGAAATCCCAGGCTCCAGCATTCACTAGCCCTCTTGTGCCTGCTGCAAGGCTCAGCTTCATGGGAACCTGCACACAGAGCATATAATACATGGGCACCAAATCTGCGGATGAAAACCAACTCCACCTTCAAGAAACCCTGAAAACAATTGCACTTAGAGATGGATTCATGAACTCTATTTTTTTCTGGTTCTAAAATGTAATTAATATATATCCTTTACAGAAAATTTAGGAATTCTATAAAAGCCTAAAGTGAAAATGACATCTCTCTCAAAATGTATAGAATAAGAAACGAGACGATTTCCTTCCTTGTTCCACTGCCACCCCCACGAGGCAGGTGGTGTCACTGGTAGCCTGCCATCCCCAGAGTCCTTTCTTGTTTTTCAAAGTATGCCTAATACGTGTGTGTGTGTGTGTGTGTGTGTGTATGGATATATATGTGTGTGTGTGTGTGTATGGATTTATTAGTTCTAGGACAGCCAAGGCTACACAAAGAAAGTCTGTCTCAAAAAACAAAAAACAAAAAATTGCTGGACTGGAGAGCTGACTCCAAGATTAAGAATGTGCATTACTCTCTCAGAGGACTCAAGTTTGATTCCAGCACCCATGTCAGGCAGAACATGGGGGACTCTGACCCCGGACACCCACACATACATGGCATACACACAGACACACACACCATTAAAAGTAAGATTTTTTTTGTGTGTGGGGGGGTTAGGTAGGTTTGGAGCCTGTCCTGGAACTCGCTCTGTAGACCAGGCTGATGTTGAACTCACAGAGATCTGCCTGTCTCTGCCTCAAAAGTGCTGTTATTAAAGGTGTGCACCATCACCACCTGGCAGCATCTTTATTTTTTTATGCTGAATAAGACAGGGGTGTTGGGAATCTGGCCCCAGATACCCACATGTACATGGCACGCGTGCGTGAGCACACACATACTTTATTAAAAGATAAATATTTTTTTATACTGATTCAGCCAGGCATGGTGGCCCATGCCTGCAATCCCAGCACTTGGAGGCACAGGTAAGATCAAGAATTCAGGGTTACTATTGGCTGCATAATGAATTCAATGTCAGGCCCTATATTAAAAAACAAAGAATTATTCCTGATACACTTAAATTTTTGACTACAGTGCTAATGAGTATTGGCGGATACACTAGAACCAGATCATATACCGGCATTCATGTCTTTCCACTTCTGTCTGAGCTCCAGAGGGGTCAAGCGATACTGGTCCAGCCCGTCATCCCACCTTATTCTCTCCAGCACCTGCAGGTCTCCACCGACGAGCCAGTCCCCACCTTCCATCACCATCTAGGAAGAAGTCATCGAAATTCATAGTAACTATACTGGCTTTTCAAATTTTTATTTGAAGTGTGTGTATATTAATGAATACATGTGCCTGTATGTGTGGAGGCTTAGACGTCAGAGTTGGGGAACTTCTTCAATAGCTCTTCAGTACATTTTTGAGACAGGGTTTCTCACTGAGCCTGTAGCTCACAAATTTGGCTAGACTGACTGGTTGGTGAGCCGCCACGAGCTGCCTGCCTTTACCTTCCTGGCAGTGGAATTGCTCCCTGTCTTTAACCTCCCTCCCTGGCCACTTGGATATTTCACGTGGGTCCTGAGGGGGATAAACTTGGGTCCTCATACTTGTGTAGCAAGCTCTGTACTGGCTGAGCCTTCTCCCCGGCCTGCCTGTTTTGCTCTGTGACCCATCTTGAGTTGTTTTTCTACAGCATTTCCAGTAGTATTTAACAAACTTTTCATCTCTGAACTTTCTTGCGGTCTTCACCAAAGTTGCTGGGGAGGCAGAGCAGGAGCGGGACCAGGCCCTGGTCGAGTCCAACGGCTCATTCCCACAACACAAAAATTAAGGACTGTCTCCCCAAAGTTCCTGTTTATATAGATTATATCCATCAGTCCCCATGTTAGAAATGAATACCGAGAAGCTTACAAGTAGTACTGAAGCTATTGCATGTTAAGAACAAACTCTTCCCCACTCCTTTGCCCGAATAGGAAGTACGGTGTCACTTTTACCCATTTGCCACTCTGCTAAGTATGGCCTAACAGAAGACAGGCAGACTTTCATAGCCAGTGAGTTTCGGCTGTGCTGTGTCAAGGAAACCCACCAGCAGGGACTTAGCTAGAAGAAAGAAGAGGATTTGAGTAGCATTTTTATATGATTGTGGATACTGTTTGATACTAAAACATGTATTGGCTCCCTCCCCCTTCCTTTTTGACAGGGTCTTACTCTGCAGCCCAGGCTTGCCCACTTGGGATCCTCCTGCTTGGGCTTCCTGAATGACAATATTCCGGGCGTTTACTGCCATGTTCAGCTTTTAGGCACTAGTTTCCCTAAGTGTGTGCCCATACCTTTCTGTACCACATGTGTGTGGGATGTGCATGCATATCTTTGCAGAGGTCTCCACCAGCTGTCTTCCTTGATAAATAGCACTAGTTCTTGAACTTTTACAAATCGTGCGGGGGGGGGGGGGTATGTGTGTGCGTGCAGACATGCATGCGTGTGCATGGAAGCGCATACATGCGCATACAATTTGGAGGCACCACTCCTACCAAGTGGATTCCGGGGATTGAAATTCAGGTTGTTAGTCTTCTCTTTATCCACTGAGTCATCTTGCCATCTCTACCTTATTTCTGATACAGTCTTTTCGTTTAACAGGGAGCTTGCTAATTCAGCTAGACTGACTAGCCAGCAAGGTTCAGAGATGTTCCTGTCTCCACTTCCCTCATGCTGGGATTACTGGCAGGTATTGCCATGTCTGACTCTAGTATATGGTTGCTGAGGATGGATAAAATTCGGGTCTTTTTGCTCAAATACCAACCACTTTACCATCTCTCCAGCCTCCCAATGCTAGTTTCTTAAAGGTAAATTGCAGTATGAAATCTAAAACTGTATGCATTTTTCACACTGTTTTAGTAAAACTCCATTGTTTTTTTAATGATATTTTTTACCCAAGAATTTATTATTATTTTTACCATACATGCTGATCAACTAGAAATGTTGACTACTGAGTTTGTCAGTCTTTAAAGGCTGACATTATATTTTAGGATTTTAAAATACACACACACACACACACACACACACACTTGTGAGCATCGCGGATGGCATCAGAAGAAAGTCTAAGTCTGAACTTGCTGCCACACTCATAGTGCTGAATAAAATGTTTTTGTTTGAAACCCCAAGATTAATCTTGGCAACTAAGAAGTACTCTTCCTTGTTTTTGTTGAAGTGACAGAATTTTGCCCATTGAAAACAAACAAACAACAAAAAACGTACTAAATATCCAAGTCTGAAGACATGCATTTGTAAACCCACATTCTTGATACCAGGTTTTCAATGGTGTTTCAATAGCTGTTTTTCCCCCAGACTCAAATAACTTGACAAGGACTTTTCCTTACACCAGCCATTGAGGATTAACATGTATAGCGAGCGTATCTTGTATAATTCCCTATTTGGAGTATGTTATGAAAAAACCACTTAGCCCAAAGGTCACATTCACAGCATCATAGAACGCATCCTTCACTGAAGCTGGTGGTTTCTTAGTATAGTTGCTGTAATGGAGCCACCAGCATCTTGTCCACCTTTGCTTCACACCAGCCATGCCAGTGGCAGCACAGGAAAAGACTATCACTGTTACATGGTTCTGCTCTCGGGAGTTCTCCGGCTAGGTTGTGAGTTCGGCTGGGGTTCAAAGAACCATGCTTTGAGAACCTCTCCTGGCACATTCCTAATATTGTCTAATGTATCTTGTGTTGTTCTCAATAGCACTCCAAAGCTCTTGGAGGAAAAGTTGTTTGGTTTTCTACCATGTGATTATTTATCGTTTAGCACAGTTTCCATGGAAACTCCTTCATTAAGTCTACTTTAAAGATAAAAGAAAATCCAGTGAGCAGCAAAGTGTAGCAAAATCCAGGCATATAGTGTAAAATAGATAGTTATCCATTTTCTCAAAAGACCTCTGACAAGGATGCCAAGGTCACTCTCTGGGGAAAAGTACAGTCTGTTGAACAAATATGTTGAGGAAAGTAGATACCCACATGCAAAAGGATGAAATGACCCATATTCTATGTGCAAAAGTTAAAATGGATTAATGGCATACATAGAAGTCCTAAGATTATAAACTGCTTATGTAGAGAAAGGGGCTGGGCCGGAGGTAGTGCATGCCTTTAATCCTAGCACTCAGAAGGCAGAGATAGCCTGATCTCTGGGAGTTCGAGGCCAGTCAGGTCTACAGAGGGAATTCCAGGACAGGTACTAAAGGTCCTAAAGTTACAGAGAAACCCTGTCTCAACGCCTCCCACCCCCAATAAAAAAGAAGAAAGAAAGGAAAGAAAAAAAGAAAGAAAAAGGGAACCAGGCTTCATAACACTGGGGTTGGTTGGCAGTGGTTTCTTGGCTTTAGCACCAAAAACACAGACTACAAAAGCAAAAGCCGAAAGCTGGGATTACCCTGAACTGAAAACTTCCTTTGAACTAAAAGACAATTAACAGGGTGAATGTGTACATAGGATGAGATGACTATTCCAAATCCTATGACATTGCAAAGGGACCATTCCTACAACCTGGGTGTCAGGGTACATGCCTGTAACACCAGCACTCGGGGCTGAGGCAGGGATTTTGAGTTTGAGACAAGCCTGGGCTACATAATGAGATCATGGCTCATAAAAAGAACAGAAAACTCCTCCAGAACAAGGATAAATAAAGTAACTCACAATTCACAAGGCAGAGCTAGGGAGACAGCTCCGGATGTACGGTGAGAATTCAAGTATGATGAGTTTGATACCATGTAGTCTGATATTTGTACAAGTTGTTCTCTGATGGCCACATACTCCCCCCCAAAGAGCACACAGAAATATCATAAAAACAAAAGGCTGAACAAAGAACTTGAGTAGACATGTCTCCAAACTTGTTCTATAGATGGCCAAAGCACATAAGTAGCCCACTACCAACAGCTGTAAAGCAAGTGAAATCCAAATGAGAAAAAGTAGAATATCCATTAGGATGGCCATTATTACAAACAAACTCAGAAAGTATGTATTGGTGAGGATGGAGAGGAACTGGAAAGAACCCTTATGCCCTGGACTCTAAAAAGAAGAAACTACTGTGGAAAAGAGTAAGAGGTTTCACTTCAACAAAGCAGCAAAACAAAACTTCGAAGAACCTTTCGATTCAGCGGTCCTTCTTCTTGAGGAGAGATTTGCACACCCAAATCTCCATTTGTTCTTGGCAACCAAACGTCCACCAGTGGATGAATGGATACCGAAAAGACACGTACAGCATGGGAACACATGAAAGAAATCTTGCCCAGTGCTTCTACATAGATAGTCCTGAGAAAGCAGGACAGCCATGGAAAGACAGTCGCCACACAGGTAACCCTGAGGACAGGGAAAGTGAAGTAAGTCACAAAAAGGCAAATCATGTATGATTTCATCTGTACAAGGACAAAATGAATACCTAAAATGTCAACAGAGTAGCAAGGGTGACTGAGAGAACTTACTCATAAAATACCTAGTAGAAAGAAGAAGGTGGCCATGTGTTGCCTTGGCTCAGCCTCCCCATTACAGCCCATCACTGAGGTTTACAATGACTGCATCCCAGAGGGATTCAGAGAATGAAAAGCTAAGCTAGTGCGATTTTTGTCACACCTAATATCTCCAGTTAGTTTATTGCCACAAGTGGAGTGGGAAAGGTGTGCTACATCTGGAATCTAGTGCAGCCAAAGGATGCAGCTGGCTATCCCATGTGGCACAGAACCGCCTTCACAACAACAAAGACATATGGTGCTGGGCTTGAGAAACCATGGTGATAATTGTGCAATGGACTTGGCTCTGTCTTCATGGCCTCCTTTCTAAACTCTGTCCTCAGGAAAACCACTACAGACTCATATTTTAAAATATGAGTACTATCCATGACTTTGTCCTCACCTCTTAGAATTTTAAGAGTTGACACAAATCCCTATGAGTTTCATAACACTCCAAACTCCATGGGCCAACCCTGCACTGGACTGTTTTGATGACTGAAAGGACATCTGGGCCACCCACACTAGAACCACGTCTGTCTGTGAAGAGTGATGCTGAAACCACTCTCTTGGTATCATTTGGACTCTCCAAAGGTTCTCTGTGTCTAAGATGCTCTGATTATCCTGAGAACTATGCCCCGCTCTCAGGAAGGAAGATTCAGCACTTGTGATGACTTAGAATTACCCAAGGCTTTCCAATCCATCTGATAAGGCTTTAAGAGACTCGAGGCTCATGCAAGTTTAACATTGCAGCTTTCAGATAGAAGGCCATTTTACAGAAAGGAAGGGACAGGGTCCAGGTACACATGGTTATTGTGCCAAAGTCAGAACCCAAATCTGGAACTTGAAAAAAACCAAGCTTTCTTTCCTAGCACATCGGCCAGCTTTTATCAGTGGCCCCCAGGTGATATTTCAGCATCACCCTCAGCATTGCCTGTTACAGGTATGGACGGTACGCATTGTTCTGGGAGGACACAGAAGGCCGTTGAGTCATACCTGTGAGTCAGGGGAGGTAGGATTGACTTTGGAAAGCAGGAAAGCAGGGGATGTGGGAGCGGAAGGAGCAAACATGTTGTGAAGACCAGCTCTGGAATGTCTGGAGGAGCAATGGATGAAGGCTAGTGGTCTAGGCTAAGAGGTAGCCCAAAGAAAGGTTGAACAGTTCACTCTGGCTGAAGAATAGACAATGGATACGAGGCTTATAAAGCAAGACACGGGGAGGATGTGAAATCTGGACCAGACTGGAATAGGAGTGACTGAATATATTTGAATAATGCTTGGAAGGAAGAGCTGCCAGAACTTGTTGATCGATTAGGAAAGGGCACGAGAAAAAGCAAGAATGCCATGTAGGTTTTGTTTATGGGTTTAGTGCACGCACACGGAGCTGTCAAGTAGGAGAATGAGTTTGGGGAGAGCTTGACATGTTGAGTTTGGACCACTTTCAGGACATAGTCAGCTAAAGCTCTCAATAACTGTGTAATCGAGTGGTTCTTAACCTTTATACATGTGTACATCATAGGCAGCTCCAAATTCCCAAGGACCGGCCTGGCCCAACGCCAATCCAGCCAGAAGCTGGGCGACCTAATCAGGGTTATTTGAGGCAAGGTCTTGTTACATAATTGACAATGGCCTTAAACTTGGGATCTTTGTGCTGCAGCCTCCCTGGTCCAGGAATTGTAGGGGTGAGCCATCATGATTGCACAATCCATGTAAACTTTAAGGTTTCTCTGGTGAGCTCATTGATCTTGCTGTTCATCTGGTCTTCATGTAGATACAAAGGCTAAAAAAAACTCTGTTTCTGTCTTTCATTGGGAAAACATACTTTGTTCTCTTGATTTCTACATATATAAAATGAGAGTAATAATTTTTACTTACTTTACAAGGTAATTCTGAGGAATTACTGGTTGGTAAGAAAGCACCATGGATAAAAGATGGTGAATTTCTTCCAAGCGTTATTTCTGCATATTCTAGTTGTTCCTCAAAATGACTATGAGATTATGCCATATGGTTCCATACTTTGTGACTCAAAGAGACTTCTTGAGTAGAAGGGTCAAGTGGTTGTTTGAATAGGAATGGCCCCTATAAGTTCATATATTTGAGTGTTTGGTCATTAGGGAGTAGTGTTACTTGACAGGAAGTAGAAGGTGTGGTGTTGTTGGAGTAGGGATGGCCTTGATGGAGGAAGGGTGGGCTTTGGACTTTCAAAAGTTCAAGCCAGGCCGCTTTCTCTCTCTTCTTGCTGCCTGTGGATCCAAATGTAGAACTCTCAAGAATCCAATGTAAAACTCTCCACTTTTCCAGCACCATACCTGCCTGTGTATTGCCATGGTCCCCTACCATAGAGACAATGGACTAAACTTCTGAAACTGTAAGCAAGACTCAGTTAAATGTTTTCCTTTGTAAGAGTTGCTGTAGTCATAGCAATAGAAGACTAATAAGACAGTTTAGGAGTATTGATAGGTAAGGAGTTGCGGGACAGAGGCAGGCCATTTCCTTGGCAACTGACCATGCTCTGCAAACCATCTCAGTCCCATTTTAAAATTCAAGGGCCATCGTTACTTTTGTGAATAAAACTGTTAGAAGACTTTTGTCTTCTAAAAAAAAAAGCTGTTAAAATATTAGCATGAGATCAGGGTGTTAAAAATAGAGTTCTTTGCCCAACAAAATTCACGTATTGTGTTTTTGCCAAATATACCTTTAGGAAATCCAAGTATTATATATATATGGGGGTATGAATGCTTTCTCTCTGGTTATCTATGACCCATTTCTCACCATCAGTTCCTCTAATGGCCAACAGTGTAGAGTCACTGGCAATACTCTCAAAGACACAGGTCACACCACTGCTCTCCCTGACATATATTGCAAGACAAGATGAAGAGAAATAGTTACTCAGGTTCCCCTAGGCATTATCTGAGGTTACTTTTATGCCTTTAGTGCAAGTCATGTGGATGTTAAGTTGTTAGACCCAAAGAGAAGAAATCTTTGAGCAGAGATAATGATAGGCCGTTATTCTTTGGGCCACTGAAGAAAGATAATGTCCCAAGTGTGTGATTACAATCATAAAAGAAATGATCAGATATGTAATTGAAGGCCAGAATGTAATATTCATGGAGCAGCTATCTCAAAGACCTTCTGCCAGACTCGGGGGCGGGTGTGGGAGGGAAAGGGGAAACTGCCCAAATGACTTTGACCTGCCTATGCATGAGGCAAGAGCTGGCTATCTTGAAGGCTGATGGTTGTGTCCAAAAAGTGGAAAAGCCGCTCCCCTTGCTCCCTGAGCTCTTCTGTTCAGATTAAGAAGGCTTCAAAGGCTACTAACTGGGCCTTGAGAATGTCTTTCCTATCTTTTAACATTTCACAATGGATTTTTTTTTCCTGAAAGGTCATAGGACTGGGACAGCTGTTCAACATATTTTGGCCTCATCTTTTTGTCAAAAGAGAAATGAAGGATGGTATACTTGGTCTATCACAGGGTCCTTGAGAGCCTCTTGGGCTTGGCTGCTCATGATGTTACTGTGAGCTTGAACGCTAACCAAGCTGGGGAACTGAAGAGGTCAAATTAGATTAGTAATATCTCTCTGTACTTCCACCCTTATGCCCGTGTCTCGATGAAGAATGGATCTTCATTGTGTTTCCCAGAATTGTGTGAGAAATGGACTATATCCTGTGGCTCTCCTGTATACCTCCTCATTCCCACCTCACTCCCAACTGCTGTTAGAAGCTGCTGAGGAATCTGATTTGCCTTCTGGGCGGAGAGAACTGAATGACCCTAGTTAGATGAACAGCTGCTGATGAGAACGTAGTGTCTTTATTCTCAGAACTTAGCCACTGTGTGTACTAATCTTTGTTTATAGAAAGATGTCATCAACCCTCCCCTCTACTGGCCAGAGAACATGAACTCTGAGTTGCTTTTAAGGGTTGCTTGGGTTCATTACATGTGTTCCCTCTGTACGTTCAACATGGACAGGGCTGCAAGCTCTTGCTAGCTCATGATTTTGATCTTTTACTCAAGATACTAAACTATTATCTGCCTAGTCCTATTTAGCTAAGGATGCTTCAGCCACAGGATATGATAACTTAGGAGATCAAGACCAGCTTTCAAACAAAAATGCCTTTTTATTTTTTTGGCAGAGTCTTCTGTAACCAAGCCTAGCCTTAATCTAGCTATTTAACTGAGGCTAACCTCTGATTTTGCCTTGCCCTCCCTAGTATTAGGATTTGTAGGCTTGACCCATCGTACTGGCTTCAGAAAAATATTTCTCACTCAATCATGGATTTGGGGAGGTGGCTCAGGCAGTAAAGGTCTTGCTGCATAAACAAAAGGAAGGACCTGAGTTTGGATCCCCAGCACCTGTGTAAAAAGTTGGGTGCAATAGCATGTCCTTGTAATCCTAGCCCTGGGAGGCAGAGATGGGCAAATCCTGGAGTTCCCTGGGTAGCTAACTTAAGGTCTAGTGAGAGACACTATCTCAAAACTCAGGTGGGGAGCAACGGAAGAAAATACCCCATGTCAATCTCTGCCCTCCGCATGCATATATATATACTCTGATGCACATGTGCATACACATGAACATATATAGCACATACAGACACATACCCAAAAGAAAAATAAGAACTTCTAGTTGGGGAGATGGTTCAACTAATAAAATGCTTGCCTCGTAAGTGTGAGGACCTAAGTCCTAACTCCTAGGACTCATATAAAAAGCCAGGTGCAGCAGCAGCATGTGTCTCTAGTCTCAGTGACGGCGAGATGAGAAGCAATGACAGGAAGACTGTCAAAAGCCCGCTGGCAAGCTAGTCCAGCCTGCCTGGCAAAGTTCCAGGTCAGCCAAAGGTCCTGTCTTGAACAGAAGGTTGAAGGCTCGCACCCTGAGAAAGGACACCCAAGGTTGTCCTCTGATCTCTGATCTGTGTAATTATATACCTACACACACACACACACACACACACACACACACACACACACACACCCGCCCCCTCCTTTTAAAATGTTCCCCAAAGGTTTTGCACTTACTTTGATATGGGGGTGCTTTGCGGTGGCTGTTCCCCACACACGGGAGCAGCGCTCCTCTTTCCGGTGCTCATAGAACTCGGGGTCTTGTAGCACCGCCACCCTCCGGCCTTCATACACGAGGGCGAACTTGCTGCACCCCTCCAGCCGGGCCTTGTCATCCGTAGAAACAGGCAGTACGATGGGAATGCTCATGTTGATGACTCCGTCTACGGAAAGACCCACGTGCCGTGTGAGTGCCAGGTCCGGGATGAATATCTCCCTGGGTGAATATCAGGGATGGCTAACATGTGCACAGTCCTCCTTCCAAAGCCTGTGCTGGCGCATCAGGCCCCAAGTTCAGCACAGACATGCTGCTCCTCTGCTTTCCCTAAGTCTGTGATGGGAACTCCTTGACCAGGCCCTGAGGTAGGTTGCCTCAGTAAGTTTCCTGGCTTTGGGAGCAGGATGGAGATATGGCTCGCCTTCTTAAAACCTTGGTCCTGACCCTAGTGCACTGTGAGGAGTAAAGTCTTTTGTTGTTGATGTTGTTTTAAAGTTATTTATTCAGTGTGTGTGTGTGTGTGTGTGTGTGTGTGTGTGTGCATATGGGTACACCCAGAGACCAGAAGAGGGCTTCAGATCCTCTGAACTCTGAAGCTAGAGTTTTAGACAGTTGGGAGCCTCCTAACATGGATGCTTGGACCTGAACTTGGGTCCTCTGGAAGAGCAGCAAATATTCTTATACCACTGAGCCATCTCTCCATCCTAAAGTCTTTAAAAACCAAATAAAGATTGGTCAACCTGAAAGCTCTTCTTGTTCTTGGAAATGAACCTGTGTCAGTGTTGGGCATTACCAGCGTAAATGAACTGAAAAGAAAGGTGAAATACAAAACAACAACAACAACAGAAGCCCCACAGAGCTCACACCCCAGACAAGTGCAGTCGGTGGTGGCACACGCCTTTAACCCCTTGGTCATGCTGGTCCAGATGCAATTCTATCTTCAAATGTTTAAAGAGATTATTCATCCCACTTGCCTGGGATCACAGTTTTGCTGGCTCAGCTACAATTAAAACCATCACTCAAAACACATGGGCGAAGGGCCTGGAGAGATACTCTGTGGTTAAGAGCACAGATTTGTTTTTCAGCACCCACACAACAGCTGGCAACCAGCTGTAACTCCAGTTCCAGAGAATCAGGCACCCTCATGTGGCATCCACAGAGATCAAAACTCCTATAGGTATCTCACACGTTTCCTGATGAGGGTTATGTGTGTGTGTGTCTTTGCTTGTATGCTTGTATTCGTTTTAGCGAAGTTGAAGATTGAACACAAGGCCTTTTACATGCTAGGCAAGCAGGGTACCACTGAGGTATATTTCCAACAATGTCTATGTGTGTGTGAGAGAATAAGAGGTTTTAACCATCGTGGGGTCTGTTTTGTTGTTATTTTGTTTCTGAGATGGAGTCCCTCGCAGCCCAGGCTGCTCTAGAACTGACAGGTGAGGACGATAGAGCTTCCAAACCCTGGAACCACAGGCTGTGCCTCCAGGCCCAGCGAAGGGTTTTGCTGCTATTTTAATACGAACAGTACTCAGGTATAGTAACCATGTCTGCCATCCCAGAACTTGGGAGGCAGAGATAGGATGTTCATGACTTCAGCGGCATCCTGTACTGTAATAGTGAGTTTGAGGCTAGCCTGGGCTGAGGTTCTCCCTGGGTCTCTGATGACCCACCCACCATCCCCCCAAAAATAAGTATGAACATTTTGAAGAATTTTCAGATAAAACAGTTAAAAAGAGGTAGTTGCTTTCAAGTTTGAAGCTTAGAAGCATAAAAACAGTCTCTCCTTTCTTAATGATGCAAGATAATGTGAAAAAAATTAAGGCTATGACCCCTTTTGTAAGCATGCTCCAAGTTCTAACTAGTCTGCCCTTCTCAGCTGGACTCAGAGTTGAAGCCTGAGGGCTGTGGTTTAGGGAACACAGTGTTCGGATGGAGTTGAGGAGAGAATGAAGGGAAGATCAAAGGGGAGATCCTCCAGGGGCAAAGAATACTCTGACTTTAGTTGTGGGTGTGAGAAAATGTAAGTCAACAGAGTCCTAAGCCCACTTAGATTGCTTCTGACCTGTGAAGATCTGAGTCGTGTTCCTATGGGATGTAAAACTCCCCAACAGCTATGAGCCCAGTTGCCGGCCTACCACTTTGTCCTTTTCAGCCCTCTCAGTTAGTAAAGAATGCCACGGGTCAGACAGCAACTGCCAGCAATAAAGGCATCCAGTCTGCCATAAAAGTCTGCAGTGTATGGTAGACACCTTTAAAGACTGCGAATTAGGTGGCTTGCAGGACGATTTTGTTGTTAAAGTAACTCTGTTTCAACGTTCACCAGAAGCCACAGCACCTAGCCCCTTTGCGGAAAGCCTCAGACTCAAAGTGGGGAGCTCTTGAAAGACGAGATAGCAGTGTGCACCTCCCCAGGTTTCTGGGGGAACACACTCTGTAAAATGCGGTATGAATAGAAGTCTGTGATGAAACACAGCTGAATCTCCCAGGAAGGGTATGTTCGCCAAGAGAAACACATTCAGGGATGCACCAGTTCTAAAGAGAAACTGTGCTCTCTGTGGGTTGGGTACCGACCACTCCACTGATGAGAGGCTGTAAGCAGAGCAATGCTCAGTTCTGCTGACAGAGACTTGAAGAAACCGAAATAAAGCAAACTGCAAAGCAAAGGTCAGAGGGAGTTGTCAGGAAGCCTAGCCCAGCCTGCAGCCTGCAGCTTGCAGGCAACACTGATAGCCCAAGGACACTTTGTTTCCAGCTGCAGATGCTGCTCTAATGAACATCCGCTGTGATACAGGATAAAGGACTCGCCTGTGGGACCACAAGGCAGCAGGAGTCCTGCTAAGGGATAATACCCACTGTTCCCATGTGCCCGAGACTGCAACTCTTCATGGGATGGGCTTGCTTAATTTGGTTCCCTATTATCTGTCTATACTCCTGCTTTTTGTTTGTTTGTTTGTCTTTTGTTTTGGCAGTAGTAGGGTTTGAACTCATGGCCTTAACTACAGTTCCAACCCTTTTCCCTACTTTGCTTTAGAAGATTTATTTTTATTTTTAAATTATGTATATCTATGTTGGTATGGGCAGGTGAATGCAAGTGTCCATGGTAGCAACAGGCACTGGGATTCCCCAGGAGCTGGAGTTGCACCTGGTTGTGAGCCTCTCAACATGGGTGCTGGAATCAAACTCCTCCTCTCTGCAAGAGCAGCACATGCCCTTAACCACTGAGTTATGTCGACAGCCCCTTCTCTACAACAAATAATAATTTTATATGTATGGGTGCTCTGCCTGCATGTATGTCTTTGTACCATATGTGCAGTGCCCAAGGGCACCAGATGAGGGTGCCAGGTGCTCTGGAATTGGAGTTAGAGTTGGTTGTTAGCTTCCATGTGGGTGCTGTGAACCAACCCCGGGTCCTCTGCAAGAGCATTAAGTGCCCTTAACCACTGAGCCATCTCTCCAGCCCCTCTAGTTTTTTGATGCATAAGCATTTCCAACAGTTGAGCCATGCCGAGCATCCTCTGTGGCCTTTCCCTTGGTGTGCTTCAGCTCTGCTGAGAGTTGCATTATTTTATTATGCTTTATCTAATTTGGGAAGGTTGTTGCTGTTTTTAACCATAGGGCATCCAGCAGATAATTTCCTAGCTATTGAATACTTTTGCTTTTGCTTTAAACAATTGTCAGTCCTTTTCTCTTTAGCACTGTAGATCTGCTTATTTTTTGGACTTCTTCGTTCCAAAAAAAAATGAAATTAACATTATTATATAATTAGGCTTTTTAAAGGAAACAAAATGATAAAAAATTATTCATGATAAGTGATATGTTTGGAATTTTACTTCATTCTCGTACAATGTGGAAATTTATAGTCTCAGGCATATTTATTTTCGCTTCTGTAACTATCAATTATGATAGCTTGCAATTAAGTCCATGCATAATCATACATTGTGAACAAACAAGGAATGATCGTACACAGTCCAACCAGGTATATGTATCTTAAATCGAATCTGAAGTAAATTTCTTCAGTGACTAAAAATGTTTTGTCAGTATAACCGAAAAATTTAATTTCAAATTTCTGAAACTAAGAGGGGACAGAAGTCATTAGACGATCGTAAATTTAAAAGAACTCAGGAACAAAGTGTGCAGTGACAATTTAGAAACAGAATTTGCTTGTGTTAGCCAAACTCGACGTTACGAATAATAGTTCCGCCGGAACCAGAAATTTTCTGTCGCTTGTACTTGAATAAACAGAACCATGTGGTACCATTTTACTATAGCTGGTTGGATTATGAACTGAACAATCCCAACTGGTTAATTTGGATTTTTTTAAAAATTAAATCCTTAATAATTTTTTAAAAAAAAAATTAAGGTAACATATCTAATTATAATAATTAACTACTCGGAGGATGAAGTACATACCACGGTGGGTCATGCCTAGGGAAATACAAACATAAGAAACATGTTTTCAGGTCGCCACCACGAGAGTCTTGAAGCAGCAGTATCAAGGAACACATTTCTGCTACGCTCTTCACATATGCAACATGCAAATATTCTCAGCTCCTTCTTATGCAATTTTTAAGAACGGGCATATGACACCAAATACATGGCAGTATCACTTTTGTGGAACATTGCTCAATGCACTCCAAAAACATTGTTCAAAAGGATTATCTACTTGAAATAATTATAAGACATGTTAGTTGCTATTTTAATTTCGGGAAGACTGCTGAATGGTTTACAAACCAGACTTGGGAAAGTGAAGGCACAAACAGGTCCTAGAGTGTGGAAAGAAACCCAGATGCCTAAAAGATCCACTGGTGAGCCTCGGAAAATAAACACAGGGTTGGAGTCATCAGATCCCAGATTTAAATGTAAAGTCAAGTGAGGTTTCTGCCCTTTCTAACACTTACCATCTCCCAAAGACCCAACATCTTCATGCAGGTTAAATGGGGTAACCTACATCAGATGTATGTGGGGACCCTTATCCCTGCCTGGAAGGTTGACGATGAAGATTTTAAATAATGGAGTTGTCTTCATCCCACTCAGCAGCTATCGGCCAACACCAGTGACATTTATGCTAGGAGGGTCTGTGACGACCCTGAAACTGCATTTCCAGGGAGAGAAGACAATGATGTGGAAGCGGTAACTCATAAATACCACAAACACGAACAAATGGTTGCTTGGGGGGGGATTGTTCAGTTTTGATTTCGTCCTAAACAGACTGATTATATTTTTAGACTCAGGGTAAAATGTGAACCTTTCAGAAAATTAAAACTAACAAAATACTTTATAGGAGGAAGGGTGAGATATCTTGCCACATCTTCTGATTTATACACATATATAATATATAACATAATAATATATACTATAATAACATATATTATATGTGAATTTATAATATAAAAATAATCTATAATATATAGAAATGTTCTGGAGCTTAACTGTTTTCTCGGTGCATCACACCGGGCATATACTTCAAGGAGACTATGACATGGGAAGCGTAAAGGCTCAAGTGGCCTCCTTCAGATGCTGCAGCCTGGGAAATTCAAAGTGCTTTGGCTTAAAACAATGTGGTAAAAAGCCATTTCTGCCATCGGCCTCAGAGAAGCTGTTGTGTCTGCCCTGTGAGCTCACTCTCTCTTCAGGACCCCTCTGTCCACAGCAGCTAGAGGAAGCCAGTAGTCTTAAACCCTTACTATAATAGCCACACTGGAGCCTTGGGTTACCAGAGTACTCATGTAAGGCATAAGCAGCCTCCTAGGGAGTCTGCATCCGAAGTTAGCACAGAGAGAGTGAACGTTTCCCTATTCACGAGCACTGGTGTTGAGAACTTCGGTGTCTGAATGACTGTGAGTGCAGAGATCCACACAGCAAGGAGCCTGGAGTTGTGGACCTGATGTGGGGACACAGGAAACACACCCAGGAACTCCGACAAACACTGGGGTTTAGGTTTTGGAAAGAACTGGGATTGCAAAAGCAGGCTAGGGGACTCGAGCAGTAAAGGGAAAGTGGTCAGGCTGGGGGGCTTAAAGGAAACAGAAATGAAATAAAATGGAAATGATGGGAAGGAAAAAGCAGAGAGCGATTTTCTCAGTCACCCGGACTGTCTGTATCCGGAGCTCATCTCTGCAGTCACAGATGCTCTGAAGGCTCCAGCAGAAGCCACGAGCTCAGAGCAGGAGAATTTCCTTTCACCCCTTTCTCTAAACAAGACATGAGATGACTTTTGCTCCGCCTCCTTCCAGGCCTGGATCTCAGGCTAAGGACCCTTCGCTTCCACTGGCTTTGACCCCAGCAGCCCTGCCTACCACGCAGGCATCTTTCTTTATGGAGAAATTCTCGTACAGGCTGCTCTTTGGACTGAGCCCTCTTCTTTCCGTGTGGTCCCTTGTCCCACGGTCACATCTCCAGCCTGGATGCTCACACCTCACCAACTTCTTGGATATGGCTGGCTGCCGAGTCCAGCCACATGTCCTTGATGCAGCTGTGTGCGGCATGTGCCAAAATTAAGATGTCAAGATACGTGTCTCATTTCCTTGGTTAGGCATCCTGGCCTTCTGCAGTCCATTGGGAAGGCCATCAGGAGAGCAGACTGAAGTAGAAGGGGCAGCAGAATCTGGTCTTGGGGTCTTACTTCTAAGCAGTGTGAATGAGAGCAAGCCATTTATCCTGAGCTCAGTGTTCCTCATGTGAGAAGTGGGTAGTTTCCAGGGATTTTATAAAAATCAAATGAAATAGCACCTGCCACAGCAAGCTAGACTTCAAGTGTGCTTTGTAGCTTTGTTAATTTGAGAAACCAAGGCTTCAGGCTCCGGGACATGTGCAGTTACAGCAGAGGAATGACTGCGTTAGAGACAGTCTAAGAATTCTGTTTCGAGGCCATTCCCTAGGCAGCAGCATAAGCCCCAGAGTATCTTTCCAAAGACTGCATATCTGATTTGGCCCTTTCTTCCCCATAGGCCTGAAGCTTTGCCCAGGCTTAGACAATCGGTGTGATTCTGTCAACACCTCTTCCCTAGCTGGCCGTCATTTCCCCATGAAACCGGGAAGCCATGTCTGAGGATCTCAGGGGATTCCAGAAAGGACATTCTTAGAGAACAGCCCGGGGTTCTGGACAGCAAACCCTTGCTTCTGGCCTGGATCAGACTAGTTTTTCAGAAGCCACTAGCCTGTGGCTGAAAGGTCACACACATTCCCTTGTCAAGGTGCAGAGGACGAAACCATCTTCATGTCTGCCAGGTGAGGGCTCGGGCACCTACGACTCCGCAGCCATCAAGGTGACAGGCACTGCGACACCGTACGGTGGGAGCAATGTGGAGGAAAGGTGGTCACTGTGAATCAGTAAACTGGGATGGGCTACTCCTAGATGCCCTCGAATAGAGCCTCTGACAACCAGACCCAGCAAAGGATGGGGGGGGGGGTGTCAGAGTTGGAACCTTTCCTTAGCTTTTGCGTACGAGTAAAGCCTTCATTTCTCGGCAACTTGGCTTTAAATAATAAATCTTTAGAGAATGAAAAAAAAATCCTAAAAATGGAAGCAGACATAGTAGAAGAAGGGACACTCTGTAAACAGTCTAAATATTGTCGCGATAGTATCTACAAACCAGGGGCTAACAGGCCTGTCCGTGCGCAGACTTGTAAGAGAGGCATTTGTCTTCACTAAGCAGTAAGAAGCAACAGAAAACATACCGTCCAGTAGAGTGTCGAAGTGAATAATTTGCAGGTACTCCTTCTCACGCATAAAACCTTTGAGGGGCGTGGCCCAGCCTTCACTCAGAATCTGCACCCACTGCAGATCCAGCTAGAAAACACAAGGAACAAGGTGGCGTGTCCAACACCTCTTTTTCTCAGGCCCCATGTATGTCTCCCTGTTCAGTTGGCAGGAGGGTGCGGGGAGACCCTTCCATGTTTTAGGCATTCTCACTTAAACTCTATGGACTTCTGATTCAAGGGCCAGCTATGGGTCAGTCTAGAACGTTCCTATAAAAGGGTGACCATAGGATTCCAAATTGAGATTAAAGACTTTCAGCTGTAAGTATGCAACAGGATTAAAATGAAAGAGTTTTCATTTTAATTAAAATTTTAAAATTCAATTTTTAATGCATAATTTAAAATTCACTGACCCCCTCCCGTGCATGAGCGCATGCATACACACACATACAATGAAGGTTTGTTGGGCTTTTTTGTGAGAGGTATTTGCTGGCCAACTGACTGAATTGAGCAAGTCACTGAGTCTATGGTAAAGGCCGACATTGCTATCATGCTATGGAAACCTTTTGAGTTCTGGCTCCCGGGACTCATGGAGACACTTTCTCCTTTTTCCCTGCCCGGTCAGGATCAGTTGTGGAGTTGGAACTCACAGGCACTTGCAGCCGATTGGAGGATGAGGGCTACTTTCCACCCATCTTCTTGGCCACCTGCAAATCTCTATTGAGGTATAGGGGAGCCATGCACACTGTCCTATGCAAATCTGGCTGCTGCTTTCCTAGTCAGCTTTTCTACCTGACCTTTGTGAGAAGTTTCGTCAGAGAGTAGGTGAGAGGATCGGGATGTCTTCATAGACTCACCTTTGCTGGATATTTCTTACGGTCCAAAGAGATGGTAGGGTTCAGTGGGTTAAAGGGCTTGTCACCAAGCCTGCTAACTTGAGTTTGATCCCCAAACATGGTGGAAGGAAGGAGAAAACTGGCTCCTGCTTGTTGTCCCTGACTCTACTCAGGCAGCCTGACACGCGCGCGCGCGCACGCACACACACACACACACACACCAGGGGGCATATACCAAGCACATAAATAAAGGCAGTTTTAGAGAGGAGTTGTATGATCATTTATAAGGTCAGATACTAACCCTGAGTCCCTCTGGCCAGGGACTCTCTTACCTTGGTAATTGATAATGCCGGGAGAGTCTCGGCCTCAGCTCGGACCTGATCAATCTTGTTTTCTGGCACAAAGAGTTCATGGATGCCCTTGATGGTGGTGTGGGGTACAATGTTCTGTGATGCAATGGAGTTGCAATAGTTACAATTGCGAATGGTAAGGGGAGGGATTTCATAAAGAAACTAGGGTTATCTTTCAACACACACACATGCACACACATACATGCACACACATGCACACACGTACACACATACACACGCGCACGCACACACACACACACCTACCTACCTGCTCTTGCAGAAGCTCCACCACCTGCTGCACACAGTCACTAACTGAAGACAAGTTGGTCTTCAGCACACACTCTGGAGTTTCAGGTTTCTCATAATCAGAATCGATGCCTGTAAACCCTGCAGGGCATAAGATCTCAATCACATCTGTGCCCGTGGAAGAATGTTATCAATCAATGAGACATAATGCATGCAGTAGTAATATGTTAAACGGAAAATGTGATTTATGACCAAAAGGTTCAAACTGCCATTTTTGACCTCTTGCTATAGATAAGAAAGTATACAGCTTTATTTTCAGTGTAGAGAGTCTCAAGCTTGCCATGATCTCTGGCAGAAACCAAGCCTTCTGCTGCTGATGGGAATGCAGAAGGAAAGCAAGGTCCTCCTCAATGAGACCAATTCCTAAATCCAGTCTGGGGTGCATGTGCATTCTTTCTCTGAACTTCACCCCATCTGCCTGAGCTGACGGTTCTTCAAAGATGAACCCCCACATTTTAGTAAGCCCACAGACACTCTGAACGCACCACGCTGTCCTGTGTGTGCTTTCTGCAGTTGGGGTACAGGGTCCGTAGCTACAGCCAGATAACCAAGGACAGACTCAAGAAGACTGGCAGGGTAAGAAGCTGTCCAAGGGGTTGGGGCTACTGTGCGCACCTTTAATCTCTCCAGCTCGAGCCCGTTTGTAAAGTCCCTTCACATCCCGGCTCTCGCAGATATTGAGAGGCGCGTCTACAAAGATCTCAAAGAACGGGAGTCCTGCTAGTTCGTGGATTTTGCGGGCATTCTCGCGATCCTGAAACAGAACATGATTAAAACTGTGAAAAGAGAGCCAGGAGTGGAGGGGCATGCTCATGGTCCCAGCGTTAGGGGAGAAGAAGCAGAAGGATCAAGAGGTTCAAGAATAGACTTGGATATGAAATGAGTCAAGCCTGGGCTACAGGAAACCCCCTCCCCTTCCCCGCAAAAGCAAGCAGTGGGATATGGGGGGGCACAGGCACAACTTTAATCCCAGCACTTGGGAGACAGAGGCAAGAGAATTAGAAAGGAGTCTAGCTGGACTGGGAAGGAACCAGCATAGGACCAAACTAGTCCCTCTGAATGGGGTTGACAGTTACATGGCTGGGGCAGACTGTGGGGCCACTGGCAGTGGCACCAGGATTTATCCCTATTGCATGTACTGACTTTTTGGGAAACGCTTCTGTTTGGATAGATACCTTGCTCAGCCTAGATATAGTAGGGCCTTACCCTCTTTGAGGATGAGATGGGGGTGGGGTAGGAGGGTGTGTGGAGGGAGGAGGGGAGAGAGTGGGAACTTGGATTGGTATTTTTTTTTCTTTTAAAAATCTAATGATTTTTAAAATCATTAGGTTGAGAAAAAAAAAAAGAATTAGAAAGGAAGCTAGCCTGGGGATACATGTAGCAAAATAACTGAGGTTGGGAGTTTGGGGGCTGAATTAGCCCGATCCTTGCTCTTTCTTGCATGAAATGCAGCTCATCAGATGCCAGCAGGTGCTGACAACTCTTGGGTTCCAAAGCCTCCAAAGTCATGAGCCAAATAAACCTCTAGTCTTCGTGAATTCATCAGGTCTGGTATTTTATTATGAGAGAAAACGGATTAGGACAAAGGAAGAGAATTTTCAGTGGAAAACACAGTGTACTGTTGGATTTAATAATCTCAGGTAAAATGAGATATGTGCCCGGCGGAGTCCTTTCAGAAAGCCCAGAATTTAACGCTCTGGTAAACACATTGAAGAACTTCCCGCAGAAGCTATAGAACACAGCTCCCTCTTAGCAGGGCTGCCATTCTTAACACAGGAAAGCTTTGCTAGAAACTTCCAGCTTTAGACCGGAGCAGGGACACCCTGACCAGGGTTGTCCCCACTAAGTCCACAAAAGCCGGTGCTTTGAACTCGGCTGCCCTGTTTGGGCCAGTAAACATTCTTGTTCAGACAACTGAAATAACAGGCCATGGAGGTCTTGCTCAACTCTTTAACTCTGACCACACGTCTCTGGTGACTGTCATCCGTAAAGGCTTTCTGTCAACTGGGGCACTCACTGGTTTCTGGCAATGAGGCAACTCTCTTGACGTAACCAATAGCAAATAGAGGGGTGCGGTCACGTGAGGAGAGGAGGCAAGGCTGGGAAAGTGAAAGCCAGATTTCCCCAGCTCGGCCAGCCCAGCGCCACAGCGGGGTAGCAGGGAGTGGAGGGAGCGAGGGAGGAGAGGGCGTGCCGCCTTGCCTCTCGCTCTGGGTCAAATCCTTTACCTTTGTGAACGGGGAAATGAAGCTGGTGATGCAGATCAGGCCTGCGTCAGCAAAGAGCTTGGCCACCTCCGCAATCCGGCGGATGTTCTCTTCGCGGTCTCCGGGAGAGAATCCCAGGTTCTTGTTGAGGCCATGACGGACATTGTCCCCATCCAGGGAGTAACACGGGATGGCGTGGGAGACAAGGTACTCTTCCAAAGCGAAACTGATGGTTGTTTTCCCAGCGCCCGAGAGACCTGTTCAGAGCAGGCAACGTATACATAAGATGAAAAATGATCACCTAGGGAATGGAGGCACAACCTGTAATCCCTGTGTTTGTGAGGTGCGGATCGGAGAATCAGGAGTTCAAGGCTGCTTGTCTCAATAAGCCAAAGTCCCTCAAAAGATGAAAAACCATGAGATTATTTGGCACCTTTATTCACAACTAAACTCTTAATAATACTCAAGTTTTAAGCAAAAATCATTAAAACCAGAAAGAGTACAAAAACCCTAGGACTTGCATTTATTTTGAATTCTGAAAGTTTTTCAGAGCAACCGGGGTTTGTAAGTAGGGAGACCTGCGGGCATAGGCCATGTGCTGTTTTGCCTGAAGACGTTTTTAGATTAGAAAGGTGTTCTTACACATTGAGATGCCGGATGCTCTTGAGAAAGCAAAGCTGTGGTGACCAGAGACTTATCTCTTCCAGTAGCACTTAGTGGAGAGGGGACTGGTACCCAGAAGACTGGCAAGCCCACCTCCCCGTGGGTTCCACTGGATAGCCACCGGGCATTAGAATCCATTGGCTGCCCATTGGCGGCAAGAGTTTTCAAAAGTGACTGTCAAAACACAGAGGTGTTCATGCTGACCAGGGCTGAAGAGTTTCTGAGCTCTTAGGCATATGCTCACTCTGATCTAAAGACACATCATGTCCTTAGGAAAATAGAGTCAAGATGCTCAAGCAACCATACTATAAGCATGATTAGACCACTCCATAATTTTCTAGGCAAGGAGACCGTGGTGCGGGCCCAAGTGATCTTAGTGTACCCCAGAAAGCTTGCATCCTCACTTGTCCCGAAGGTCTTTGAACGTGAAGAATATTTCAAGGACACTAGGCTGCCACTGCACAGAACTCAATGTGGAAATGGAAAAACCGGGAGAGAAAGAGGGGGAAAAAACAAGGCAAGGAGACAAGAAAACACAGAGAAGGCACCCGGGGGAAAGGAGGGTGCAGAAAATGTCGCAGAGATCCTGGGACAAAGTTCAGGGGAAAGGAAACTTAAGAGGGGAGGGAGAGAAGGAATCCACAAGAGGTAAATGAGTACCCCCTCCCCCAGGTTTGCAGTCCCTTTTTAAAGTCACACTCTTGACTGACAGGGGAGCGTTGAAGAAATGGTGTTCTGGTACTCTCCAGAATCTCTGCGGTTTCTTTTGACTAGATCTCAATGATAGGAATTGATAGATCTCAATTCCTCTTGAAATTCATGTCAGCTTGTAGGTAACAAAAAGCAGGAACCTTGACTCGCTGATATGTTTTCTTGTATCACAATAATGAAATGAAATATCCTCCCATTTCCTCAGCTGTCGGAGAGCAAAGGCCTCCCTTCAATCCCGGCCGCCATGTGCCCAGGCCCTTGAGTGTGTACTGTACCACACTGGAGAGCTGCCGCCCTAGCAAGGGGCGAGCACTGGGTTGAGCCTATTGATGCTTTCTTTCACCTAGCGCCACCTATAATGCCCATGCATCAGCCCTCTACAGACCAGGAGATCAGGGCTCAGAGAGGTTAAATGACCTGTGCAAAGTCACATTGCTGATGTGGGTGGACTGGAGTGGTTGGTTTCTTTTGTTCTACAAGGCCAATCTTGAACCTCTGAAGCACAGAGAAGAAAAGTCAGAGGAAATAAATCCTTTACATTTCCACCCATGCTACCTACTAGTTCCGCCCCCCCTTCAAAGGGGTGCACATTAGAGAACATGAACGTCATGTGTCTTTCTCAACACGGAAGTGAGCTTCCCCAGTAAACACCCAGGGAAGGTAAGTGGGCAGCCAGTGAGGAGCCTTGGGAATACATCTGCTACTACGAACTGCATCTCACAGCGCGAGCTAGGGGAACCCACTGCGGGCAGAGCAATAGGCAAGCCCATCGCACTGGCACTTGGGGCTCCATGCCCATTGTCTGACTTGACATTAGAGGACGGTTGAGGTTGTTTTGATGCAAATCCCAGCTGCAGAGGAAACCAGGAAACCACCGGCACCAGGAAAAATTCAAGAATAGCAAGGAAACAAAACCAAATAAACCCGGGTGTGTTTCACAGGGGAATCGTGAATTCTGGGTCAGCCTGGGCTTTGCCGTGAGACCCTGTCTCACTAACCGAAAACAGTGCAAGCAAGCAGTAGCAAATAGAAATCGTCAGGAGAAAGCCAGGCAGGCCTCCAGCTCCGTGTTCTTCCGAGCTACTGCTAGGGTTGACCTTTGCCTGTCCGTGTGAGCAGAAAATTACACGTGTGTCTCTCTACATGTGTTTGTCTCACAGTCCAAATAAGCATGCTGTTGTTTCTGGGAGCTTTCCTTTACAGAAAACCTGTTTACGTGGTGAACCTGGGTTTCCCTTTCTGAAGCCTGGCTGTCTCATCTGTCTATCTCGGGTAAGAACTCAGACAGGGGGTGGCAGGAGTTAAGGCCTAAGTTTGTCACTAACCTCTAGCTTTGGAACATGTGGATGGAAAAAGACAAGAAAGGGGACATTCACTGGGTCATCTCCATGACAGCGAGTTGTTTCTACAGGCAGAAGACAACCCTTAGCCGAGGTAAATTTCTAAGGGTCCTTCTCACACAGATCCTGTTTGTCAATGGAATAGTCCCCCAGAATGTCAAGACATCAGAGAACTAGCTCTAAACATCCGTAACCCGACAGACTGCCAAATATTCACTGTGGAAGTAGGAAAAGCCCTTTTATCGTGGCAGGAAATGCGTGTAGGGGCGACTGTGAGCAGTTCCTTAGGGTCGGAAGAAGGAGTCACGGTCCACTTGTCTATCTTGTGCTGCCAAAGGATGGTAACTGGTAACTGGTAACTCCCCACAGCCCACCAGACTCCGGTGCTCTGGATAGGAGAGCGATGACTGACAGCCCGGCATCTACACAGCTCTTCACTCCCTTTAGGTCACAAAAACACCTACTAGGTGTGACACGTCACACTGTGCTCCTTGAAATCATGTCACACATCGATTTTTTTTTCTTAAAAAAGGTACCCGGAAAAATGTGTGTGAGTGTGTGTATGTGCATGTGGTGTGCGTGTGTGTGTGTGTGTGGTATATATGTGGTGTGTGTGGTGTGTGTGTGTGTCTGTATCTGTGTGTGTACCTACCTGTTAGCCACACGGTGCATCCTCGGAATCCTCCCTTGGTGCCAACCACCTGTCCTCTTTTGTTCCTGCTCACATGATGGGCCTGGTAGACCACGTTGGTGGATTTCTGCTGGTCCTACAAAAGAAGATTAGATTGAACATAATACTTGATTAATAATTATTAATTAATTATAATATTATTATTTAATGCATATCCTTTACATGGAGCATATGTATTCATTTTAACTTTAAATTGCCAAGTTGAGGTATATAACAATTTCTATGAAAAAGTCCCGCCCTCATCCTCCCACTGTTTTAACTTTTTTTTCATTCCACTCATTTATCTATATATAAGCCAAGAGAATTTTTTCCCCACAGAATAATTTTGAATTAATAAAGTAATATCACATTGACTCATAGAATACAATCTGCTACATAACTAATAGAACTGCTAGAACTGGTAAATAGAGTAGCAGTCATTTATTGTACTAGTTTAGAGACAAACTCTGCTTTTAGAACTACCTTCACGCTATTTTCAGAGTACTCAAGTTAGACAATGACTGTGTCATAGCTCTGATTCCATGGTGTTAAAATTGGGTACTATCATAGGAGGTAGAGGGCAGTTAAAATTTGGAACCTACTGCAGGGGGCAGAGGGCAGTTAAAATTGGGAACCCACTACAGAGGGCAGAGGGCAGTTAAAATTGGGAACATACTACACAAAAGCACAATTTGGGGTGGAGGGCAGTTAAAATTGGGTACTTTTTACAGGAGGCGGAGGGAAATGTCTGCTTCTATAAATGCATGTTCTCCCCACATCCAGTGGACTTCAACACAGAACAACCAAATGCTTCTGCAGTAAGGTTAATTCTCGTGAGGGCTGTTTGACCCATCCTGACTCTGGTCAAAGCCAAGGCCGGATGTGGTAGCTCACATCTCTTATCCCTGTACTTGGGAGGCTGAGGCAGGAGGATTGCCTGGAATCCGAGGCCAGCCTGGGCTGCAGAATGAGTTTTCCATCACCCTGTGAAATATTGTAAAAAGAAAAGAAAGCAAACCACCATGGCTCCTCTCTACCTAGCCGGCAGTGAGCTGGTAAGAGTTTAGCTTTTAAGCACAGTGGCCACTGCCTCCAAAGAACTAAACTCTGCTCCTTCTACTTTCCTAGGGTCAGCTTGTGAACAATGTAACCTCTCAAGTCCCCAAGAGAAATTCAAATAAAACAGTTATGGGGCATGGAGGCCAATTCACACAGACACACCTGCGTTTGTATCATAGTAACATCAGCCTAGCTGGGCAACAGACTAGGAGGCCTTCATATAAATTCTGGCCGGAAGGTAAAATGTCTAACGGATAGTAAAAGGTTAAAGGATACAGTAAGCACAATTTGGGGTGGACATTTACACAATATAATCTGTTATTCAGGAGAGAAAGAAACTATAGACAAGTCAACAGATTTATGACTACCCATATTTTTCTGTGATCAGTAATTTCTGAATTGTAAAAATTTCTCCTTCCTTCCTTCCTTCCTTCCTTCCTTCCTTCCTTCCTTTCTTTCTTTTTCTTTCTTTCTTTCTCCTTCCTTCCTTTCTTTTTCTTTCTTTCTGTCCCTGTCTCTTTCTTTGTGTCTCTCTCATGTCTCTTTTTGTGTGTCTGTCTCTCTCTGCCTCTCCCTCTCCCTCTGTCTATCTTTCAGTGTGTGTATGTGTGTATGTGAGTGTGTGAATGTGTGTGTGTTGTGTGCATGGGTGAAAGCCGGAGATCAGTGTTGGGTATCTTCTTATCATTCTCCGTCCCTCTCTTATTTTTTGAGATAAGAGCTCCCATTGAGCTTGGAGCTCAGGAGTCAGAAAACCCTGTCTCAAAAACAAAACAAAACAAAAAACAGAAGTATGGGTTAAGCTGTAAGAGCTAGATAGTAATAAGCCTAAACTACTGTTATTGGCTGAGCACTTATAATTAATAGGGAGCCAGCAGTTCCTATGCAAAACTCTGCCTACAGATTGTTTTCCTCTAGCAAGTGTCAATAAGCAATAGCCCCTCAGTTAGGGGTTGGGCCCTACTAGCCTTTCTTCCTACTGCCCCAATCTTGACTGTCTTCATTTTATGCAGGTAACAAGAGCTGCCGTGAATTCATGAGTGCAATAGCTGTGTCCAGAAGACATTCTCTTCCCTCCAAACTCTCCAGATTTTCCATTCTTTCTGTCTCCTTTTCAGTAATGTTCCCTGAGCTTTGGCAAAGGGCACCCAGCTTTCCATGTTTCTGCTGGGGATTCCAATGCTGGTCCTCAAATTTGCACGCCAAACACTTTACCCACTGAGTCATTTTTTTTTCCTGTTTCTCTATGAGCTAATGTACATTTATACCCGCTAGACTAAAGAAAGCATCAACATTCTTTGAACAAGTCCTAGCAGCTCGTAGAAAACTCTGGGCTACATGGGTTGGGGAACAGAGCAAGTCAGTCCATCTCTTTTCCATATCTCCTTTAGACACTAAAAACTCAAGGGGGCTCTAGCTAGAGCTGTCTGCGGGTTGACGCGGGCAGGGAAGCGCGTATGTTCTGTCAGTGCCAAAAAGCCATCCATATGTGGGTGCTGCTGGCTAGTATTCACTGTAGACCCCCATGAGAGGCCACGCTCATTGGATTAGAATCAGTCCCTGCAAAAACTAGAGGGAAGCAGGAACCTCTAAGACACTTGGAGGGATCAGGAATGGCAGGACACCCCAAGGGGAGCCAGCCTGCTAGTACGGCAGAGCCCCCTTCCGTGGGGCAATTGTCAGAAACAAGCATAACAATGTGTCTGAGGGGTCCAAGAAGAATGTGGCCCAAGGTCCACAGTGAGAGAGGATATCAGCCAGGTTAACTACCTAAGTCTTCAAAAGTGGATATTCTGATGCCCTATCAGACAAATCTAGTCAGAACCCGGAGGCGGTAAACACTCTCAGCGTACTAGATGGGGTTGCACTAGAGGGCCTATTGGTCCCTTTATAATTCAGGGAGAGCATTTGCATCTCCTTACTCCATCTTAATTCCATCCATAATGCTATGTCATTAAACTAAGATGACCGCGTCTAAATTATCAGGACTAAAAGACAGTTAGTTCTTCTATTCCTTCATTGGTTCTTTCAGTAAGTGTTTACTCAGTTCCTACTCTGTGCTAGGACAATCCTAGGCGCCAAGTCTGTGAAATCCTTCGCATCATTTTGGGTAGAAAGACAGGTAAGAAAATGAAGCATTTCCATTCTCCTAAGGAGAGAAGAGAGCCCACACATACACACACACATGCCACCCCCAGTGTGCATACATATAATGTATACTATTATAAAGGTATATAAAAGAGAATCTGCAAGTAGATAAGAAAAAGAACCCAGTATTAAAACGGTACCAGTGGTTTGAAGAATCACATTACAGATTCATCATGAAGTGTGCAAATTCAAGTTACCAAAACAAGATACCAATGCCATCTAATGGCAGCTAAGGTATACCTCCTATATTAGTTGTGTGTGTGTGTGTGTGTGTAAGGAACAACTGCTTTAAAAATTGTTTACCCACACTATGGCCTTTTATTCAAGAGAAATGTAGACATGCATCCTCAAAAAGACTTCGGCATGAATATTCTTAACAACTATATTTGTCTAAAACTGAAATAATTGCCATCAGTTTAAACCAAAATAAGAAAAGGTGCATGTCCCTGAAATAAAAGCAAAGCTCAAAACTGTAGAAGGGTTACAAAATGGGACACTATTCAGAAAACAAAATGAATGGATGCTGATATGGGAAACATGGATGGGATGAATGGGAGGCCGTCTGTCAACTCCAGGAAGGCAATGGAAAAAATGTCTGTGTGATCCCATTTATAGGAAGTCCCAAAATAGGAGCAACAAAGCAACCAGTGTGCACGAATCCCAAAGTTTACTTTGTCTCTTTCTGGCTGTGTTTTTTCTGCACGTGTGCAGAAACCCAGAATAAACTCAGGCTCTGTTAATCTTCTGTGAGTACTTTGACACCCCCCAAAGTTTGTCACTTAAAACAAGTTAAACAATCTTCCAGCAGGAGCTGCACTAACGTGGTCACTATGGTTACTTATTTACTGCCCTTGTTTATTTAACTAACGGTGGTGGAACTTGAAATCAGGGCCTCACACATGCTAGCTAAGAACCCTGCAATCCAGCCGATATTTCCAGTCCTTTGGAAAGTTTGAAGCTTGCTGAGCAGTCTGAGGTGGCTTAGAATTTGTTATTCTCTTCCCAGGTAGCTGGGATTACCGGCATGTGCCACCATCACACACCTGGCTTTTGAAAGTTTCATCCTTAAAAACAAAAACAAAAAACAAAAACAAAAAAACCAAATTTCATAGGGCCACTATACATAGCTCCTCCCCACCCCCACAGCCTCAGTGCTGAGCTAGGTTGAGCAGCACAGGCCCAAGAAGGCACAGGCTTTGCTGGAGCTGGTTCCCATCTGACAGGCTCCAGGCCAGCCCTGTGACCCTTGCCGTTCCATTGGTCACACCTGGGTGATGAAAGGGCCCTGGACAGACAATCGCCTCAGCCAGTATACTTTCTTCAGGGAGAAATTCACACATCATATTGGGGGTAGGGATAATTCTCCACCCTAGAACATCTTAATTCTTCTGTAGGAATGTCTCATGCAGATCTTCCACGCTTGGGTTTTAAACATTCCCAAACACTCACTAGCACTGCAAATCACGCTTCTGCTCTCTTTTCCCTCTCAGAACTCTGGCTCAACATAAACCTTGCGGCATTTGTGTTAGAGTAAGCCGAAACAGACATCCTTGTCTGCTTTGGCCTTCACTCATCCTTTCTAGATTATTTTGGTACCTTACAACTCCGATTTATATTCCAGTCCAAATCGGTCAGATCTGCCAAAGCCTGTGCTACCTTGTAAAGATCTCATCTGACCATGTGACATAGCAGAGCCACTGAAGTTCCCCAACGGTCCTGAGGCTGCTGATGAATCAACTTCCCTTTCAACTATTTGTGCGCATGTGAAGTTGCTGGACTCAGAGAACTGGGCAACAGAAGTCAATCACTCATCTCATTCACTCATGCTTGGGCTTTGTCTATTGTGGCAGTTCTCAACCCGTGGGTCGCAACTCCTTTGGCAAAGCCCTG